AATTAGATTTTAAATAATAAGTGTGAACAAGTAATTACAAATACCTATTTAGTATATTTATGTTAGATTTTGCAGAGGTTAATCTCTTGTATGCGATATCCGGTACTGTCTCATAACGACTAATATGCCTTTCGAGATATTGTTTTTGTTTTTTGTGTAAATATTTATTCGCCGGTTACCTATTTGTTTCTTTGTGAATTTTAAATTTCATCTAGGTAGTTCCACCAGGTACGAAACCATCTGACGACTTTGTTACGCTCTGAAACCCAGTAGATGACAATTAGGTAGCTTCTTGCAGAATTGACACCAAAGACACGCAGTTTATCCTTCATCAGCCTCACACCCTCTCTCCGTCTCTCTCGCTCGCCACGTACTCGAGAGAGATCGAGTCGGAGTAAAGTGAATTGATAGAATGTGATAAGGTGACGTAAGGTATGCAGTGTGTCCAGTATACGTTATAGTTAATTAACCGGTGATCCGAAAGAAGAATCAAGTAGTCGTGGACGGTATATTATGCATCTTGTCTGCTGTCCTTGTCGCTACGGTAGTACCTACACCGAGAGGAAACAATTGAATAAATTCGAGCAGAGGATTCTTCGATAAAGACTAAATAATTGAGGAGGCTGCGAGGATCAGGTGGCTACGGATGGCTCGCTTCTTTTGTTTTCACGTGCAGATCTCCTTACATAGATTAGGGAAGTGTAACTGCTATTGTCATTTCTATCATTTACACAGAGATCTTCCTATTGTTTTTACAATTTACAATTAGAGTATGACTCATATTTTTTAATTACAAAGACATGTATAATAAGGTATACCATTTATATTCCGAAAATCAACTGATAAAGTAGTCAAATGCAAAAACAATTAATTTATCACACTGGTTATTGCAGCCTAATTTAAATTATCTTTATTAATTTTTAATATTTAATATAAATATTTTTTGCAATAAAAAAAATTGTTAAAAATTAAATTAGTTTTTTATAATAACACTATTGTCTTGAAATAGTCCTGAAAACTAAATTTGCACATCCATAAAAGTAGGTATACCAGTGACGGCTGCACCTTTTTGTGCAAATTGCTCCAAAAACCACTAAATCACTCTGCAATCTAATCTCATATTCAAATTTATTCACATTTGTGGTCACAAAACAAGCACATTTTATTTATTTTAAGCCATTATTCCGTCCAAGACAATAAACACAATTGATTCGGGACAAACCTGAAACGTCGACCAAATGGCAAATGGCAGATCTCATGTGCAAAGTGGAACAAATAAGTCACAAATCTGGTCAATTAATTAATCTAATTATTTATAAATAGTCAAATTTACAGGGTGGTAATCATTAGACGTGAAAAAATGTGACTAAAAAAATTTTACGAGAATGTTATTTTGTGGAAATATACTTAAATTTTTATAGTAAAATTTACTATAAATAATAGTTCAAAAATATTCATAATTGGAGCAATTAAATTGTCCAATAAAAAATTATAAAAAGAGGAAGGAAAACCTCAATGTTTAGTATATTTTACTATTGCTTGCAGAAGTCGAACTTTTTTACAATAATTACCATAATTACTACTACTAACTTCGGTTTTCATTAAAAAAACTGATAATTTTTACCCTAAAAAAAAAAATAGTAATACTTTACATCACTTCTTATGATATAAATATTTTGTTAATACCTAATATTCTAGATTCTAGAAATTGTACTTATGTCATGTAAATAAATCAGAAATTTTCTATTAGTCAACATTTTGTGATGTCGACAATCAATCGTCAGTCTTACAAAACAAAGCGTGGTCTCTAGTTTATTATAACATTAAGCCATGATAAGTCAAAAAAATTGTAATAAAATTTTGTTAATGTACATAATATATCTCTGAATAATTATTTAGGTTTAGATAACTAATTTTAAATAACTAGATTGTTTTTATATAAATATGGCCACCGATTAAATGTTGTACCAAGTTCGAAGAGGTTTTCATTTTAATTGTGACATACTAACACATTTAATGTACTAAAATGTGGTCCCATGAAGAAAGTTCTGCAAAGAGGTCTCAGAGACCACCGCAAGAGTTAGAATCCACAGATTTGTAGCCGAAAACAGTATATCTAGTCAAGTCGGATTCCTCAAATAAGAGAATGATACCTACACTACGACACTAGAAGAAAGATTAGAGATACTACCCTAGGTGCACTTTCTTGTCTCAACTATTCTAACAGGTTTAGATTCAAGAGACTTAGAGAGCTACAGTTGAAAGGGGATTAGACCAACTCCAATAGACTGGAAGCTGGTCAATTCTGCTCCAGAAGGGTGAGGATGCAAAATATTTAAAGCATGTACTACCTGGAGACATATCTTAACAATACAGCAAAAAGAGAAAATAGTTTACCTTGCCAAAGTAGGTAGGGTCGCAGACCAAACGTAAATGTCATATCGCCCTATAAGTCTGTCCTCTTTCTTAATAATAACTCTAGAAAGATTGATAGACAGGTAAAAATAAATCTGCTTCATCCCAACCAATATGCACACCAGCCAGTAAAGTCAACTGACCTAGCGCTGGATGATCTAAGCAGACTACTTTCAAAGTCAATAGATAACAAAGAAATCGTAATCGCTTTCTTATATATCGCAGGAGCTTTAAATAATGCCTCAACCAGGTCAATAACGAAGACTTTAGAACACAGAAATGTCCCAGTCACAATATGCCAATGGATCACTGCCAGCCTAGATGACAGGATCATTTTATCTACTCTGGGAAAGTCAACCATACAGGCAAAAAATACACGAGGCTGTCTACCAGGACGAATATTATCTCCATGCCCATGGTCAGTTCTAGTGGACGACTTACTCAAAAAATTGTCCAAAGAAAGCTATCAGTGTCCAGGATACGCAGGCGACCTAGCAACAACTATCGTCAGGGGACGATTTGCAGGCACAGTCTCGGTGCGATCCCAAACAGCTCTAAACATAGTAAACAACCGGTACAAAAAGGAGCAATTAATGCACAAAAAACAAAGGTTGTACCAATCACAAAAAAACGTGTACCTACTTACAAAAATTTAAATTTTAATTTACCGACAAGAAAATAGATTTTGAATTATACAAAGAAAAAAAGAAATAGAGTGACTTAATTACTTAGAAAAAAGAACGGCAATATTATGAGGAAAAAATAGACAATAGTCGATATGACAGTAAAAAAAAGTGGCTAACTTTAAAGGAGCTAATCAGCAAAGAGAAAAGCAACTGAACTACTCTAATTTAGAAACTACTATCACTATTAATAACAATGATAATAAAAATCAAACAATACAAGATACATTAAACAAATTTTTTGCTGACATTATTCGTGATATTGTTTCTTCGATTGAACCACCAGATAATGGTTTTAAAGAAATAAACATAAAATGTTATTCAACAATCAGTAAATTTACTGAAATCTCTCTGAATAAGTTATAACGAATCGTTTGTAAATTAAAAAACAAATCATCGACAGAGGAAGTGCTTTCTGCAAAATTGTGTTTTCTGTGGGGAGTATGCCAAATGAATTCAAATGTACTGTAGTAGTTCCGGTACCAAAAGTAAATAATCCTAAAATAGGCAGAGGAGCTCAGATCTATAAATCTGTTGCCAGTGATTAGTGATAAAAAAATTTTTGGAAATTGTGGTACAGTGCATACTTAGAAGAAAATGATATGAAGGCTAATCAGGCTTCAGAAGCAAACACTCGTGTGAAAGTGCTAATCAGTATGTGATATGAAAGTGCAAAAAAAAGTAGAAGAGGGAAACACTATCGTGAGTGTTTTTATAGACCTTAAAAGAGCTTCCGACAGTAAAGATCGCGAAAAATTGCTTAAAACATGTTAATCATATGGATTAACAAGGACAGTTCTCCAGTGGTTGAAAGATTATTTAGATCCAAAGTTGATAAACATATATACAGACTCAGTATGTGTACCATATAGAATGCCACAGGGTAGTGTACTGGAACCGTTACTCTTTTTTTTGGTTTATGTAAATGACAAATGAATATCTTAAACACTGTTTCGTAAATCTACATGCAAATAATACTCGTTTATCTGTTTCGGATGCAAATCATGAGAGGATAGTTGATATAATAGCCCAAGAGCCAACTGCAAATTTTTACCGTCATCTGATAACGAAATGAAATATACCCCAAAAGCATGTAAAAATATTGTACTTTACCAAATGATACCTGTGCCAATCCCAATCCTGAGCAAAGTAGCTTAAAAAAATTATTTTATTTTAAAAAAATCACATAAAGCATGACAGCGCTAATTTAGTTTGCCCTTAAAGTTTTCCCGGAAATAACATTCAAATATATCTTGATATATATCGTTGAAGGGAAACATTTTTTTCCTCTTAACATCGCACAAAAACATATATCCACGATTAGTAGGTAAAAATCATTAAAAATATGAATAAATTTTTGCTGATTTAAAAATTTATTTGTATGCCTATTGTTGTGATTCATTTTTACAGGTTGCCATAGAAACGACAAAAAAACTACTATGATTATCGTTTAAAAGAATTGTCTAACAAGAGTTTATAATTATTATTGACTATCTCTGCAAATTATCTATACAATGCCATCCTTATTCCTTTCACACATAAACATGGTTCAAAAGGTATTTCAGGTTTAAAAGCTAGGTTCACAATGAATTAGGGTTGTAATTTTCAGGGAAAACACAATTGTCGCTGTCATGTCTTATGTGATTTTTTAAATATAAAATAATTTTTTTTAATCACTTTGCTCAGGATAGGGATTGGCACAGGTGCAATTTGGTAAAGTACAATGTTGTTATATGCCTTTGGAGCATATTTCATTTCGTTATCAGATGACGGTCGAAATTTGCAATGGGCTCTCCTACTATAATGTCCGATGAACTAAAGGTGTTAAGTAACTGGCTGAAGTTTAGAAAATTAAAATTAAATGCAACAATAACAAAATGTATGATTTTAGGCAGTCCAAACAACTGTACAATATTTAGTAACAAAAACTTAAACATAATGATTGAGTAATGAAAAACATAAAGTACCTTTAGACAGCATGTAGGTGTAAAAAAATAGGTAAGAGAATTGGTTATATTTACAAAATAACAACTAAACTGAATTATCTATCCGATATTCATATATTGTGCATCATTCTATTTTCATGTAATAAAGAAGATATTCTGTATCTGTAACGTGTGAAGGTTGGGTTACCCCACGGCACTTAAGCCTCACCAGGCCCATTGTGTATCCTCCTAAGATAATAGACACCTTTTAGCTCGTAAGTCAGCCTACAGGTTTAATGTAACTGACAACGTCGCCAAGAGGTGCTTCTCTTATATCGGCTGGTGTTAGCTGATACTCGCTGAACATAAATCTTCTAATAAATTAGAGCATCGAGCAATCGTAGAGGATTTTCTGGATGGTCTCATCTTGTTCGCATTCTGACAACGCCATGACATGGAGATGCTTCTGTACTTGGCAGTGACCAGTCAGAATGCCCGTGACCAAGCGCAGATTTCGTCTAGTCATAGTCAAGTATTTGTTTGCTGCAGTGTTGCCAGGATAACTTAAAAGCTCCCTGACAACCCTGCAAGATATTAATTGGTTACTACAGATTTTACAAAATAAGGTTATGCGTATTCTATTGGGTTACAACCGGTACACGAGTGAAGAATATATGCTGAAAACTTTAAAATTCTTAACTATCCAACAAATATTTGAAGAAGCTGGTACGTTATTTATTAACAAAGTAATCAATAAACAACTACTTGCATATTTGTCAGGTTTTTTAAAAAAGGTCAGGCATGCTTGATTATGATCTGAGAACAAATCAGAACTATTATGTAGATAGGTATCATGCCAGCACAATAAAAAAATCATCATTTGTTGAAGGAGCGAAAAAATATTAACAGTTTGTCTCTTGTTGTAAAAACACCCCTTAATGTGAAAGTTTTCAAAAAAAAAGATTACGCACTATTTATTTCTAAACCTACATTTTGCCTGCTTTATAATTTATAATTACTTTACGTTATGCATTTTTAAATGTAAAATATAATATCTTATTGTACCTAATAGCATATATTTTGTTAAACAATAGTAGTTTATGTTATAAGGACGAAAAGTTAAGTGTTTCGGGCGAGTACGAGAAGTTTGCCAGGTGAGACGTAGTCGAGAAAATATACAAATTTGAAAGAAACTTTCAAATTCAAATCCCAACTCGAGAATCCTGGAAAAGGGACCTCCCGTACAGGCTGAAGTCGCTTGATATACAGTCGGTTCAAAAACCAAGGAAATAGCTGGTGCTGGAATCTATAGACCGAAGTCAAAAACAAAGATTTTGCTAAGTCTAGGAGAATATACAAGAGTGTTCTAGGCTAAACTAATAGTCATACAACACTGTGCAATATTAGCAAGCAAAACTATTGTCATTTACTCTAAAGACTAAAGGCAATTCTTTCACCAGAAATCAAATCACGACTGGTGAAAGACTGCCTAGAAGAACTGTCAGAGTTAAGTAGTTAAAACAAGGTGATCCTAGCCTAGCCTGGACCACGACGGATATCATAGCAACGAAAAAGGCGACAAACTAGCCCGAGAAGGCTTAGATAAAGCCATGACAGGTCCTAAACCCTTATGTGGAATTGCTAAGAGTCTCCAAGACAGAGAGGACAACAGGTTCTATGAAGAAAAAGAGGAAATATCAATCCACGTTCTGTGCCAGTGTGAAGGCCTGGCTAGATTGAGGTTTCTAACATGAGGCGAAGAAAAGACAAATGCATGCAACTAGATGCAGAAGCTACTGTAAAAGCTATTAAGTCTAATAAAAAAGACCAAGCTAGATGATATACTATTAAAAAACGGAGTCCTACAATAGATCTGAAAAGTCTAATCTAATTATAGTCGAGTCAAAGTAAGTTTTCACTTCGAACTTTGGTCGGAAAGGTCCAATGGGGCTAATTTTTTTGCAAAATGTTAATTCACCCCAATTGTGGGGAATTCTTGGCATTTTTCAACAAAAGGCGCACATTTCATAAAACTGCAGTGCCAAGCGGAGTTTAATGTTCCACTCGGGGGTTTTAAAGTACCCTGAATCCATTATTTGGGTCAGATCGCCTTTGCGACCTTCCCAGGGTTGAGTGACAGGGCCACTGGGGGTCCAATATACTAGATGTCCGTGGAAATGTATTTGGGGGGGGGGGGGGATATCTCAATGTCATCGAGAATTAAGCTTTTTCAAGCCCTCAGGGTCGTATAAAAAGGGGCCCATGGGGTCTCAAATATCATGATCACGCGGGATTGAATTTCAGGACACAGAATTGGTACGCGCTAGTGTTATAAAACAAACAAATCTAAATTTGGGCAGCCTGTCATCTTGTGAGCCAACCAGGGGTGTCCGAACAGGGTGCTGGGCCCAAAATATGAGATTTGATTTTATTTGATATTAAAATGTAAAATTGATATAATTTCTCCATCGAGTATACTTTTTGGTCTTTTTGAGTCTCTGACGAACCTAGATATGGCTGATAAGGGGGCCCAAATTTAAATTCTCGTAAAATTCAATTTTCTCATATAAAGTTGATGACGGCATAATGAGGGTTTTTAAGGGTGTAATTTTATGTAGCAAGCATGTAGCCCCAGGGCTACACGAACAAGCGTCCTGAGGGGCCGAAACTATCATGTTCACCTGGGACGATTCGATTTGATTTCATTACATAAAATTGATATAACTCACCTGGCCGGGGAGCTAACCTTTTGAGGCTGGTAAAACGGTTGCGGTGGATATGGAATTAAAAAAGAAATACTTCAACGTGAAATGGAATTAGATTTTTTCATGAATATTTAATGTAGCCTGGTGTGATAGAAAAATTTGACATTTCAACAAAACAATTCTTACAGAATAATATATTTTTTTTCTTTTTTCTACAACAAATTCATATTCCATCGTGTTGTGTTCTTCCATCTTCTTATTCAGCTTCTTTCAACAAATCATCTGTTTCAGTGCCCTTGAAAATCGTCCCCAATAAATTGTCCATATAAGGTTTGTCTCTTTTTATTAAGAGGTTTAAATCCAATATTAAATCAAGGTTGTCAACAGACTGAATTTTTGTTACCGCCAATTTTAAATTATCACACTATTTCCCAAAAAAATTTTTACAAGCCATCGTGCACTTCATACCTGAACATTTGCACTTATATTTCTTACTACAAGCCTTCTTACAATAACAAAAAATTGTCCGCAATAAATTATCTGGAGCTGGGGATCCAAGAATCCGAATGGGTTCTAAAGAATCATTTTCTTTTTCTTCCCATCCCCAATCTGTTGGCTGCAATTCATAGCCCATCCAAAACTGAACTTGAAAATACAGATGTTCCAATGCTGCATCTGAAGTCGGTGGTAAACTACAAAGTAGGACTTCAGTTTGAGACCCCATGGGCCCCTGTGTATACGGCTCTTAAGGCTTGAAAAGGCTTAATTCTCGATGAAATTGAGATCTCCGCCCTTCTAAACCCCCCTGACGCAACTTGGCAGCCCAAACACATTTCCACGGACATCTCATATTTTGGACCCCCTGTCACCTGTCACACACCCCTGAGAAGGTCGCAAAGGCGACCTAACTCAAATAATGGATTTAGGGGACTTCAAACCCCTCTAGTGGAATATTTGCCCCGCTTGGGACTGCAGTTTTAGAAAGTATGTGGCTTGTTGAAAAAAGCCGAGAATTCCCCCAATTGGGGTGAATTTGGGGCGGGAGGGAGGCCGAGCGGCATCTAGATTTTGGTGAACTTTGAATCTCATGTCTCAATGAACATTTTGCAGAAAAAAATAGCCCAATTGGACCTTTCCGACCAAAGTTCGAAGTTTCTGCGTTTTTAGTCCTAATTTGACGCGACTATTACCAATCTTTGCAAAATTGATACCACTGTTTTATGCATATATATTGAGCAGTTTAATATTAATTTTGTTTCATATTTTTCAGTTGCAGAGGAGTCAACTGAAACTGAGGTACGTTTAGCTCTTATTACTGTTATTTATTACATATTAGTTGCAATTAAGATTGTATGTTTTCGTTAAAAAAATAATATAATTGATTGATTTTTATTAAGTATGCCATCACCAACAAAAACAGAGATATGAGTCCTGTCAGTAACTATGAGCTGCTCTGAAGTAAATCTAAACTGACACTTAAAAAGAAGAAGAATTGTAACCTCGGCATATGTAAATTTTTTTAATGCCCATTTTAATTAAAAATATTCCTTATAATTGTAAAATATTGGTATAACTGTAAATGTTATTAAACGTTACTAAAATTAGTTTGAATTTGTACTATTCATTTAAGTACAAAACATTATCCTACTTATTGTATAATATTTTCGTATTAATTTTTATGAAAGGAAACATATTTTTAATAAAAAATCAATAGCGAAAATTAACAATTTGTAAATTATTTCTTATGACCCATAGGCATATTTTTATTATACAGTGTCGGCTTTTCAACGCTTTCGAATACGCTTTGCTATTGTTAAAGTGAGAGTTGCAATGTTGCCAGTTGACGTGAATATTTACACAACGAGAGATATCTCTACGCGGCCGGCAATTTAAGCTTGCAACGTTGATATTATTCGTTTTATGCTCCCATTACAGCTAACTCTCTGTAGTTTTTACTTTGACATTAACAAAGCGTATTCGAAAGCGTTTCAACGGCACTGTTTATTTTAGAGAATAACTCTAGAATAGATTTTCTACAAATTATTAAAACTTTTTACTACAAATGGGGCATGTTCAAAAATTTTAAAATTTTTTTTTATGAATAAAAGAGTTGAAAATAAAGATACAATTTTTTTAATTTTTTGTTATCTATTTATTTGCGAGAGTTATGAATTTTTTAAAATGTATGACGTCACCGGTAATAGACCAATAGGAGCTAGCGCCACAACGTTGCCGGTTAGAAGGTTTACGAGAAGTGATGTACGTTAGTTTGTGTACTCCTTCTTACTTTTAGACTTCTAAAACATC